GTGTATATTAGAATAGTTAAATAATAAAATTGATAAAGATGTATGATTATTAGCAAGGTGATCAGTTAGATTATTAAAAGTATCATCACTATGGGCTTAGACTTTGTAGAAAATTAAATAAATATTATATATTTTAATTGAGTTAATAAATGTATGCCAAATTGGTCAAGAATTAATTTTAAAATATTTAGTTATAGAGTAAGAAGTTTGAAGAAGCTTATTGTACTTGGAGATTACAGATTGAAAGTCTGTATAAATGTTGACAGAAAAATTATATAGAAAAGTGGAAATAGCAAAGAGAATAGCAAAAAGCTCAGCTTTATATGATGAGGGTCGGTTAGAGATTTGGACAGAGAAGTTGTAAATAACAGAGTTATTGTAAACTTGTGCCTATTCAATATCCATAGTATATTTCTCAGTACTAAGATTTGTAACAGAGTTATCTATATAGAAAGTAAATTATTAATAAGATTGATTAACTAGAGCAATTTAAAACAGATTATTAAAAGTGATATTGTTATAGAAAAAAATAAAGTAAAGAGTTTACAATATTGATAGAAAGTAAAGATGAAATCTTGAATGGGTTTTTAAAAGTAGTAGAATAAATAAGATCAATATAGTTGACATTAAGTTTAAGTTGGTTATTAGATTTTCTATCAAAGAATTAGATAAAAAGAATTGAAAAAACTTCATATATATTGTGATTAGAGATATGAAAAGAGTTCAAACTACAGAGCTTACAAGTAATAGAAGGAAAAAAATAACAGGTTGAGAAGGAAGTATTAATATCATATTGCTAGTGAATAATAAAAATTAAGTTGGATTGACAAAAGACTTTGTAAACTTGACCAATAATAATATCATTATTATGGCAGATAAGCACCCAGGGCTTATAAAATTTATTAATTAAATTAGTTTGATAGACAAATAAGTTGAATTCAGAAGGTTGAAAGATATAGTAGTATAAGAGAAAAAATATGACAAGATAGTGTTTTTTAGATAAAAAAACCAGACAAACTTTTTTCTTAGAAATATAAAGTAATCTAGAAGAGAGGTGAGATCAATTAAGTAGTATACTGTTGTTAGCAGAGCATAATTGTTCAAGAAAGAGAATATTTTTGTGACAAAGTTGCTGTTTAAAAGTATAATATTTGGAATAGTAAGAAAAAATATTTTTGAGAAAAGAGTTACCACCAGATGTGGTTTGTAGCCAAAAGAGATTAGAGCTAAAATGAATCAATATATTAAGAAAGTTAAAAAGTTGTATATCTGTTAGGGCCATTTATTAAAGGATTAGAGTGTTGAAGAATACTGGTAGTAGACCAAAAATTATTTTGAAGTTGTTGAAGTCTAATATGTGTAGTTAAACTAAGAGTTGATGTATTGTTGATATGGTTTAAAAAGTTACTAATATAATGTTGAAGCTGTATATTCTATAAGCTATGAATATTGTATAGATTGTAGTTAGACATAGTACTGTTAGGGATAGAATAGAAAAGATGAAATTTATATTTGACAATAGTTAAATATTTTTCATAGATAAGGTTACAAGTAGAGGAAGAAATAACAATATTGTATTTTGAATACAATATTCAGTAGTAGAAATGATAACAATGTTAATTATATAAGTAATCTATTTATTAATAATAGTTTTAGAATTAGCAATATTAGCTAACTGTAAAGCTTTATCTTGAATAAGTTAAATTTGTTGTATATGCTTATTATTAAGTACTAAAAATACTATATTTCAAAAAGAGTAAATCTAACTATAATTAGTGATGATTATTACCAGAGTGCTTATAACTCAAAAACATACTAAGTAAACTGAATTAGGTACTCTAAGTAAAAATATTCAGAACTCCCAAAAACCTTATAAAAACTAAAATTGGGCTCTATTGGGCCCTTATAGTAGCTCTATATTATATTATATAAAAAAAATAATTTTTAATATCCTAACCCTAACTCTAAAAATAATTAGAGGTGATGATAATCACCACTAGTTATTTTAAATATATTTCTTTCAAAAATATATTAAATAATTAGGGAAGTGTCATTTATTATCTGATTTTTTGTAAATAGTAAAATTACCCCTCTTTCAAATAATTACAATTATATATAAACATATATACATGTGATCTATTAGCATGATATTTTGGCACCCACCCCCTGCTAAAAAAAACAGATAATAAATAACACTTCCCTTAGAGTTAGAAATCCTAAGTAAAAATGTTCAAAACTTCTAAAAACTTTATAAAAACTAAAATTAAAACCTTATACTGTATCTAATTTATATTATTATATAAACTCTCTCTTTATTTTAAAATTCTAAAAATAAAAAAATTTTTCCTAGTTAAATATAATTATTTCCTTATACATAATTATATAATTATACAAAAAGTATATAAAAATATACAAGAGAATAATTAATTATATTAAAACTTTTAATTAAATTATTGGTTATTTTAGAACTTGTACAGTTAAATAGTTTGAAAACTTTAAATTTTGAAGTATAAAAAAAAAGTCTCTAATAAGGTATTACAGAGATAAAAGTATAATTAGCTTAATAAGTGTCACCTTTATAGAATTTTATAATTTATCGCCGCTAGTCTAATAGTCCTATATGCGGAGTTTCAAATTGTGCTTATAAATCATTAATCTTAATGATTTGTAAGCAAAGATTGAAATTCCGCATAGAATAGCGATACATCGCTACGGCGATAAATTATAAAACCCCTTTTTATATACTACCAATCTTTTAGTTTTATAAACCTATAAAAATTTGTATAGTTGAATACCGAAAAATATTTATCTAAAGTTTAAAAAAAAATTAAGATTTTAGCTTTTTTTTAAAATATTTAATAAAAATTTTTTTTTGTTTTAATTCTATAGCAAATATTGAAAAACATTTGCTAGGAGTTTTAAAAAGAATGATAAATCTCGTGATTATTCGATCATCACAAACGATATCCAATAAAAATTAATAATCTTCATATTCTATCACTGTATTATCACATTTGGATTTACATGCGTAAAATTCGCCTATATGGTCACCGATAATTTTTCAATATATAAAAAACAAAAAAAGATTTATATGTTAAAGATGTTAATATAGTTGTTACAATATAAAATTTACCAAATATAAAATGCGATTATATATCACTAGATATTCATATATATATACTTTTCGAATAAAGGTAATGCCAAAAATCAATTAACGTAAGCTTCATTTTTTATATGTAGCGATCATTAAAAACAATTGCTTATTTTGAAAACCAGCTAATAGGCGGTTTATTGATCGGTCTTAGATCACGGCCCGGTCTGCTAGGACCAGTCTTTTAGGACCAAGATCGGACCGGACGAACCATAACATCCCTACTTAAGCAGCGATACTTAATTTTGACAAATATATATTGGATCAACATCCAATTACGTAACTTAGGTGGTCATAATCACAACTCGTATATCCGGTTTAAATTAAAAACATAATAATAAGATGAACCAGAAATAGATAATATGATCGAAATATAGCTCGTGTAATCTGATTATCAGATGATTGACTTAGTTATACATTCAACATTCAATTGTTGAATTAGTGTTCGGAATCAAGAGATTTTTGGTTCATCTCATTTGAGACGAATCGAACGGTATGAAATCTAAGATTTCACCACTGTTATTTATTTTTTGAACAAACTGATAATTTGTTAGTGTTTGTTTCATTATCGGTTTAGAATTCGTTAAATCTAGAGTTTCAACACCATCAATTTTCTGTCCTCAATATATAGAATACGCAATATTGCAAATCAAATACAGTACAGTAATTTTGTAGATAATATAATCGCCTTTGCGTGGTACGTACAGTATACATTTAAGACAGGTTTGAAGACCTTTTCTTACGACAATGCAGAATATCTATATTGTTAATTTGAAACTCAAAAATCTCCGGCTGAAATACTTAATACCAAGCTTATATTATAGCAAATATTAAATACAAAAAATTACACAAATCTACTGAATTAAAAATTCAAATGTTTATAACTTCAAAGAGTAAGCTTGAGCACTAATTAAAAATTACCCCACGAATTTACAAGGATGAATATCGATATTTTTAGACCCTTAACGTTAATTCGATTATAGTTTAAACAGAAATGGAGCACGTGCCGTCGGAGTTTCGGACGGAAAGAGACATATATATTTATATCTCCGATACAAAAAAGTGCTAGCGCATTAAGAAGTTTACATAATACCGATAAATTTTTTCTTTATTACCGGCGATCTCCATATGTTTGTCAAGCAATTTCTTATTAATAGAGTGAAGAAGCTCCCGAGATTTTTTTTTAATAAACGTTATACAGCGCGGTTGCGTGTTTTGCACGATTTCGATTATAGATTAATACTGCGCAACTATTGAAATCTTTTATTTTCTCCCTCAAAAATTTTTTTGATGAAAAATTCTCTCTTAAATTTTTATTTATTGCAGTCTAAGTGCATTTTTCAAAAAAAAAATGCGCTCAAAGAGATCTACATTAGTGATTGCAATATAATCCTATGTACTTGGACATTTTATTAAGACTTGCATTTAATGCTATAGTGGGAGTTGATTGTGGTTTTTATTGGTATAAATAATCGAAGAATACAATACATTCCTTATTTATTTATTTATTTATCCATTAATCGCGCGAATAATTGCTTGTACGATTATTTACTAATATAGATTCCGAATGGGGCAATGACTAAAACAGAATAGCACATCCTTATATGCTCTATTTTATTATATTTTATTATTCACATGAACATAACTTGCAAAGTTTTTGTGCCAGAACGCTAATCGATCTATCAAAATCATGCTCTACGCAATTGCGGAATGTTACATGACCATGTCGATATCAATCTAGAGCAATTAGTATAAAATAACACAACATCTTTCGTTTAAACCATTTTTGCAGCAAATTTATAATTTCTTTACAGTGCCTATTTTCGTGACTTCTTGGTAATAGAACACGATGGAATTTGCCAAAGTAATTCAAAATGAAGCGGTACAAGAATGGAAAGAAAAGTAAGTAATTAACGGTTTTTTCATATTATAAATTCATATATTTCCTTTATCGACATGTATTTGAGAATAATTCTTTTTATATTTTATAAAAAAAGATACATCGACTATAAAGGCCTTTCGAGAAAGTTAAGGGAGGTTAGATGGTCGATACAACTTAGAAATAATCAATTACATGAAACCACACATATTCCTTTTCCTCCTAAGTCACCTAGATCAGCAACACGAAGGTACTCGTTGTCTTCACAAGTAATGAGTATAAATAGTGTTGCAGAAAGTGCAAATAGTTTGCTTAGTAAAGTGTCTCATAAGTTGTCGAATTTTTCGCATTGGATAAAGCCACCTTCGATTCACGAACCCCGTAAGTCAACTAATAAAGTTTTTTAAATTTTAGATATTTTAGTTATTTATTAATAACGCTTATGTATTTTTATTTAGCACCAAGAGATCCCATCACGTCCATTGAAACATTTCTGGAACAATCGAGCCCTGAGGAAAGCAAATTTATCGTAGCATTAGACAATGAGTTGGAAAAAGTCGCACGTTTTTACACAAGTAAGAGCATGAAATATATTTTGTAAATAAAAAAGTAATAATAATAATATTACTTAATAATAATCAAAAAAAAAAAACAGGAAAAGAAGGGGAAATAATTTACCTTTTCGAAAAGTTAAAAAAATACCATGAAAGCATAAAAAATTCGAAAGAATTTAAAAGACCAAAGACAATGGTATGAAACGTTTACGTGACATAGTTTCAATTATACACGTGATTGCTTCAACTAATTGATTTTTTTTAGTCTCTCGGAGAATGGGCTCCCAAATTCTTAAGAAATTCATCATATATAGAGTTTCCAAATGAACAGCTTCGAAACTCTAAATATAAAAACGCACAAAAAAAAATAAAAAAAGCAGCATTCGAATTATATCGAGGTGCAGAATTATTAAAAAACTATCGAGTAATAAAATAATTTATTTATTTAATTACAACTCATCCACAAAGTTATTAATTATTCCTTCAAATCAATTTAGCAACTTAATAAAAAGGGCTTCAATGAAATTTTAAAGAAATTTGATAGAGTAACAGGACTGAATGGAAGTGAAATTTATATGCAGAGAGTTTCAGAACGTAGTTTTGTAAAATCCAAAGGATTAAACAGACTAATGAGAGAAATAGAGGTATAATTAGTATTGGTTATATTTCCTTTGATTATACGCAAAAAAAAGCTTATATTATCTATTTATAGACCTTTTACGTTCGCCATTTCGATGAATCACGAGAACAAGCGGTTAGGAAACTCAAATCGCATAATAGAAAGAATGTATGTCATGTTCATTTTTGATTTGAGCATAATATAAATTTATCTCACTAATATATGTTTTTATTAGCCACACCATAATGCTGCATTGCGCGCGGGATTATGTCTAGGACTCGCATTTGTTTTCTTGTATAATGTGGCTACTCTCTATATTTCACTAAATCCAAACATGAATATTTCACTTATTTCAAATCAAAATGATCCAAATGAAAGTGATGAGGATTTGTTGCATTTAAGGTTCTATTTAGGGCTATTTATTCCAACAATTTTTTCTTTGCTTCTCGGCGTTGCTATTTCTTGGTGGACAAAAGTACATATAAACTACAAATTTATATTCGAACTTGATCCGAGTGATAATCTGGGTGTCTATGAATATTTAGAGGTAAGTTTCTTAAAATCAACCCTTAAGAACTAAAAATATATATTAATATAGTTATTATTATATTTGTTAAAAAAAAAAAAAACAGCTTCCTTCGTTTATGCTTCTATTTATTAGTTTCATGTTGTATGCGGACCTTTCCAATTTATTTCAAATCGACAATAAAAACATATATTTAGGCGTAACAATCATCGTTGTTACCATTATTATGTTCTGTCCCATTCGTATATTATACTATAATGCAAGACGTTGGTTCATTCTTACTTTGGTATGGAATATTTAATGTGAAGATTAATGTGACTCGTGCATGAGTTTAATTAATATATTCATTTCATTTTTGATAGGGTCGTATCATAGCTTCCTTTTGGTTTGGTGTCGAATTTCGAGATTTCTTTATTGCTGATGTATTGAACAGCTTATCTTATACCTTTGTTGCTATACAACTGTCTTTTTGCTATCCATGTACGTTTTTTTTTTTGTTGAAACATTTCATGGGATTTTAAATTTAATTTCATATTAACCCTTTAACTACAATGCCAAAATGTTAGTGGACGGGCTTAAAACTCACTGTAACGATTCGAGTTACTTTAAAGCAATTTCTACGAATATTGTTGCGCCTTTTCTGAGCTCTATCCCTGCATGGTTACGTATAGCTCAATGTTTAAAGCGTCTTTGGGACACTAGAGAAATGATACATATGATCAACGCTTTGAAATATGCGTCAACCATATTATCAATGGTTTTATTTTGGTCGTTATTAAGAGACAGTTTGTATTTTATTAAAGTTTTTGAATTGCTATAATTGCTATAATTGCTATAATCTAACGATAAATATTTTTGCAAAATTTTAGGTAACAACGGTTTTCTAAAAGGATGTTGGATCATATCTCAAATTATTTCCTCTACATATACATTTATTTGGGATGTCAAAATGGATTGGTCTTTATTACAGATTCATTCTTCTAACTATTTGTTAAGAGACGAACTAGGATATAAAAAACCATATCTATATAGAGCTGCTATCGTTATCAATTTGTTTCTAAGGTTTTCTTGGGTTCTGATTTTATTTTCGAGTGGCAATAGATATTATTATATTATCGGAATTATAATGGCCTTCTTAGAAATTTTGAGGTAATTAATTATATGATTAGATTCTTATTCTTTCATTGCTTTTAAATCTTAATTTGTCTTAATTTTTTTTCAGACGTTGGATGTGGAGTTTCATCCGCGTTGAAAATGAGCACGTCGATAATTGTAAAGGATATCGTGCCATTAAAGAAATACATTCCCTTTTCATTTATTCTGACGGAATAGCCGAGTCAAATAATGAAAATTATCCGGTTGACACAATAGGTGTAGACGAAAGGTTAGAAGCTCAAAGATCAAGATTTGATACAATAATGAGAGGATGGGTGAACCGGTCCATGAGTACGAGAGTTAGTAGAAAAACTAAATGGAGAGATTTTAATCCAAGATATGACAGGAATGAAGAATTGTATAATA